GCGGCCGCAGCTGCAGCAGCTCGGGGCCGGGGCCGCGGGAGCCGCTCTCCTTCCGCCGGCGCCGCTGCCCCGCAGGACCGGCCGCCCAGGCACCTCTCCAGGGCCGGCAGCTCCACCGGGAGCTGGAGGAAGGGGCGGGTGTGGGGCTCCCTTGTGCTGGGAGCGGACTGAACGGTGGTTACAGGGTCCCCGGCCACCAGGAAGGGGCCTTGCCCCCTCCCTGGCTCCCATGCAAGGCAGCAGGGTCCCTGCTCAGAAGAGCTTGCAAGCCAAGCGGGCATGGGGGCAGGAGAAAGGTGCTAGAGACAGGCAGAGCAAGGGCACCACACTCACCGGACACGTGTATGGGAAAGAAAAGAAGGGAGAGGAAACAGTGCAGGGGATGTGATCTACCCACCCGGCAAGGGCACGGTGGACCTTCAGTGCCACCGCAGCCCCACCTCAAAGGACTGCCTCTAGAAGTGGGCACATAGATTTGCCTCCAGAGCCCGCTTCCTCCTTGGCTTCTCTGCTAAGCTGCCCTAAAGGATGCCAACTGCTGCCACAGATGGTGAAACTTGTGGTGGTGAGGAATATTGCCCACTGGGACCTGAATCAAGGCTATAAAACTTCAGGTAGGATGGCTGGAACTGACTGATGTCATTTATGGCAGTACTTTGGGAAAGACATAATACCATCCCCTTGTTTGGTGCAACTTAATCCATTTTAAATCATCTATTTACATACACCTAATTAGATAGATTTGTTACTTACGGACTTGCAAACACTAACCACAGAGCCCACATCAAAATAATCTTTGGCATAATGATTTATGCCTCTACATGCTGCAAAAATATAATTAGAGGCAAGTCAATACTGATGTTTCTGTGGTGAGGTATTTTACTGACACTTTCAGAATCTCTGTGCCCAATATTACTCAACCCTTCATTGTTCCTGAGGGATACAACTGGGAACAGGTTTCTATGAGCAGGCAGGATGCTTTTTAACTTTTGTAGGTGCTGATTTCATGCAGCCGATGATGGGCAAATAATTCACATCCTGATGTGAGATTCAGAACCACATTTTCAGAGCTCTGTGCACATGAGGTGTATGTACACATGTGTGCAGGCTAAACATAAGGAAAAGCTTCTGTTAGAGCTCTGGTGAGCTGTTAGATCAGGGCACAGTCTATGTAAGCATTCACCGATTTCAAACAAGTCTGAACAAAAACACTAGAAAATGTCAAGTATCATTGGGAACAATCATAGGTTGGACTGGATACCAAATTCCAACAATGGGGCAGAGTCTGCAGTTGTTTGAAATGGGTCTGTAACCAACCTTGCTCTCTCTGCCTCTGTTACTACGGGGCTCATCAAACAATGGATGCTGAATCTCACACGGTATGAATTGAAATTTTTACGTGCAAGGAAAAAGTTTACCCTGTAACACTGACTAAGCTGAATGTTGTTGATTTACATCAGTCTCAGAAGCAACAAATCATTATCTATTTGCTGGGGCTGTGAGTGCCAAGGTCAAAATTAATCTTATATAGATTATTATTATAGATTCATGGCTGAAACCTACCCCTTCATTCCTGAGGTTCGTATCAAAATCCAGGAGAGGTGCATGGGTATTTGGCTCACCGAATCTATTCCAGACACTTTTTTTTCTTTCTTCCGGAGCACCCTAGGAAACAAAGTGAATACTGTATAGTCAGACATATCCTCAAGAATAACTACCCAAAAGTACCTGGGTTTGGCTTAGAACAACTATACTGGAACAGAAACAAAAACAAGAAAGCCAGCTTGTGCCTCTCAATACAAAATGTGCATCTTAAAATATACCCTCAGTATAGACAATATTGTAAAGAGGCACCTGTCTTTTAATTCAAAGTGCATTCCCCTACTAGGACATATTCCACCATACCTGCGCCCACAGCACATGCTCTTATTCTTCATGTTGTACATGGGGGGAAAAAAATTACCAAACCAACACAGCAGTGACAGGAAGTGGAAAAATGGGGCATCAAAGGCTAAGGGATATTCCTGAGGTCACACAAGAGGAAATCTGTGGCAGAACAGACAACTGACCACATGTCTTGCAAGTCCTGCATTAGCTCCTTCATTTCTGAACCATCCTCGTTCTCTTTGAATGAAGTAAATTTGAAAATAAATTCCACAGTCATACAGCAATGGTTGTCATTTGACATTCATTTCAATTTTATTTCACCTTGTCCCTACACATAATTGGTGCTAAGCACGTCAGCTGGATATGCTGGATGAAACGGTGAGCAAGAAGTTGCTGACATTGAAATAACCATTAATTAGGCTTCAGAATTCACAGCTCCTGGAGCGAATGAGTTCTCACCTCAGAAAGCCATGGTTGCAGGTTGTTTGTAGACTCAAGAAGACAACATCATTTTGGATTCACATAGCCTTCCAATCATGCACACACTTAGTCAATAAAGTCAATGCAACAGTTCACTTGGATCAAATCTAGCAGGTGTGTATGGCTGTGGAGGCTTGGCATGTTCCTATAAAGAAGAAAAAATAAATATAACAGCTTAATTAGAAAAAAACCCACTAAAAACTACCAGGAATTGGAAACAAAGGCTGGTCCAATGGCAAATTCTGTGAAGAATATAGAGACCCCTAGAGATATGGGTCCTCTAAAGTTGGGTTTCTTACGCAATTCAATGTGCACATTCCTGTTTTCTATATGGGTATTTATTTAGCTTTTCCAAGGCCTGGGCACTTTCCTCTGTTTATATCTGAGCATTAGAAATGATTAGCCTACTTGTCAGATTTTTTTCTGGCTGCTCGATGTCTATAAAAATAATTATTTTAGCCATACAGATTATTGCCCAAGGTCAGGATCCCATTGCACTAGTTATCCACCCCAAAGGAGTGATTGGCTTATGAATTCACAAACCAACACCAACAAAGACTCTACTGCCAAGTGGAAAGATGATGCTTTCTGCACCAGAGTCTCTTGGAAAAAAAAAGCAATATAAAATACAGAAATGCTTTTATCACCAATCAGTGACAAATCTCCGGAAGCTGGAAACTATTAAGCTTCCTGTGATGAGTGCTGTCTCTTGCAGGCTCTCAGATGTACAGCACCCTGCACACTAGAGACATGATCTTGCCTAGGCCTTTTATGAATAACTGGAATACAAAGAATGGGCCAGCAGTTCTGTCTAGCTGTTCAGAGACCCATTCCTCGTTATACTGCAGACCTGCCAGGTGACCTTGTACAAATCAATTAGTCTCCCTGTCCCTCCAGCATTCATCTGGAAACACAGCACTTCCCTGCATCACAGTGGTGTTGGCTGTGAAGATAATTCCTTAATAGGTTGTGAGGAGCTTAGATGCTGCAGTGGCAGGAGCCCTATAATCATCTGAGATAGACACAATAAGAAAGTGTTTTACTTCAGCATGGCAGGAGTGAAACCAAAGGGTCTGATTCTCACAGACACCGAGACCCCTTTACACCAGCCCTGGCAGCATCAAGGCACAGCAAAATGGCCATGAATTACATTTGAACACAGGGCACCTGTGTTCTCCCAGAGCAATGTAGCTAGAGCTGACCAGGTGGGACTTGGCACCAGCAAAGAGCCCTGCTGATTTCAGTGAGGCTGCTAGGATTTGCTCATCTAGCTCTCCTTGCAGGACCAGGACTTTCACAAAGACTTCAGGATCTGGCCCTATTATTTTCCAAAGCTGGGTGCATTTCAGGATACAATCACTAGCCCACTAACAAGCACAGCTTAGGCTAAACATTTCTGTCCTTCTGAGTGTGAGTAGAAGCATCTCTTTGAAGGATGACAAATTGCATGACTTAACTCAAGCAAATATTCCTGAAAGTCTCTGATATTTTTAAATCCCCATGGAAATATTAAGCTAATGTTAAATTTATCAAAGCCCTCTAGCTTCCAGTCCTGCATCACTGTAAGGAGTGTTTTATTAAGTTCTTCAAAAGCAATCAGAAGATACACACAGTACATCTCAACTGGGCTGATAAATAATACTACATCTAATGCAAAGTTAACATCAAGTTTAATTTTAGATTAAACTGAAGCAGAAATTTCCCTGAGGACTGAAGTCTGGGGGAATGCAGAGACCTAAACACTTGCTAAGGCATGAGCTAGCAAAGCTCTAAGCACACACTTAATTCAAGCCCACAGTTAAGTCCACCCGTACTAAGCAGAGCATTTGCAGTCTTGGAGCCAGGTTTTTAAAGATGCAGAATGCATACAGGCACCTAGCGGGCATGTCAGAAATGCTTAAGTGCCTAATTCCCATTGACTTCAGTGGCAGCTAGGTGCCTGCATGCTTCTGAAAATCCCAGTCTGCGCTCATCAGCATTTTTACATGACTAAACAACTATGCACTCTGGCCACCTAATTCTGTTATACTAAAGCCCTGTTACATCACTGCAAAGAGTTTCTTAGACTAAATGCAACTCACTCCTATTTTAAGACTCCTTTTTGCTCAGGGTTTTGTCTATACTAGGTCAATATAGTCAAAGTGATATAAAACCCCTAAGATGGATGAAGCTCTATCGGTATGAAACTGCTTTACACCAATATGGCTATTTCTTTCTTCTTTTCTTTCTTACCCTCTATCAGGGTAAGTCACCTTTATATCATCAGAACAGTATTGATGCTAGGACTTTGGCTGGCATAATTGTGTGATTAAAAAAAAAAAAAAAAATCACACGCTTACCTGAAATGATGATATAGCTAATACTTTTCAGTGGGTGCATCTACATGAGATGCTAACTGTGCAGTAGCCTAATAACACTGTGCAGTAGCATGCCAGGCAAAACCTGTGCTAATATGCTACTGCGCAGTAATATTAAACTACTGCACAGTTAGCGTCTGTAAAAACCCATGCACCAGCACTATTGTGCAGTAGTGCCAGTTACTGCACATTGATTGACTACTTGGTTAGCTAAGTACTAAACTTAATGTGCAGTAACTTCAGCGCATTAATGAAGGTATAGCTGCACCCAGTACAGGCCAGGCCTAAATGTAATTGAAAAGTAACCCATCAGAAGGTAACTTAAAGTGAAGCACAGGTTTTAAAAACTTGGCTGAACTGGGATTTTAAGTGTATGCTTAACCCGAAGCCCATAAGCCGATCCAACTCTATCCACAGGACTACTCTCTGGTGCTTTAAATTCAGAACCTTCTAAAGAGCTCTGCTGAATTGGGATCCCAAGAGCCCAATTCTTCAGCTGCTTGCTGCTACTGTGAGAGGTACTGTTTATGGGTTGCAGTGCCCTGGAATGCACAACAGTCCTTGCTGGTTCACTTCACAAGGTCTGCTTCTTTCAGGACAGAACTGAGGGCCAGATTATAATGCCTTTACTTATACTCTCAGTGACCTATTTGGTTTCAGTGGAACCACTCTGGGAGACAGCTGCTGCTCAACCTAATTAGAGACAGCAGATTCTGGCCTTGGACTTCCTTTTCTAAGCTAGGTATATGACCAGACTGGCAGCTGTAGCTGCAGGAAGGAATGCACTTCCTCCAGCCACAGCTTCACCATGAGGAGAGAATACCTTCAATTTACTGGGTGACTTGAGCATCTGCATGGCCAACAGACCTCTGGGCCAGATTTGCTTTTAAAGCACAGAAATGTTGCCAGACAATGCCTGTGACTTAAATATTTCCATAGCAAAGCCCTGAACAAATAGGATGAATAAATGTGAGGAAATAGTGACCTGCTCAAAGATATTTCACAAGCAGAAGATGAGGCTAAATTAATGGATTAAAATATTTAATTGGAATTATTCACACAGCTCTAATTACATCACCTTGGGTAACAGCATTTATAACATGCATGCACATACACACAGGCACTTGCACACATACGTCAGGGACACTTTCCTTCCCATTCACCCACAAGTCAACAAACTTCTAAATACTCTCACAACCCCACCTCCGTCTACCTCTTAAGCTCCCTCTCAGGTAAGTTGATTTAGATCTAAGGTTCACATGGAGGAGAGGTTGGAGCCTCGGTGGGCAGGAGGAAGACTGGATGGGCTGTGGGTGAGGGGGTAGCATTTAGAAGTCCCAGTCATGAACCAGGATGCATCATGGATCATACTTGGACTTGAACAAAAAGATTCCCCTCTCCAAAGAGCTTACAACTGAAGTAATGATCTCCACTGGAGCATTGGAGGGACAATAATACAAAGCAGGGCAAGAAGAACAAAAGGAATAAGGAAAGTTTGAAAGAATCCTGAAGATAAAACCCTCAACATTATTAGGGAAGAGAATAAGAATGAAATTGCCAAGCAAACAAAATACTATTTTCATCATATTTTTTTCCAGGTCTTACCCTGAAAACAGGTATGCAAGATAATCCCACTGACTTCCATTCACTTCACTGGGAGTTGGAACAGGCATTGCTGCATACACCTGTATTGTCAGTATATACGTCCTCATCTATGATGTTGGTAGCACCTGAGAATCGTGTTAAAACAGTGGATTTTTTGATGTTTGATTACCGGGGATCCTGGTTTTCTCTGATTTAAAAAACTCCCCAATTTTCAGTTAAAAAAAGTAACCCCAAATCGACATTTTTCTGTGATTTAAATGAAATACCACACACACACACACACATATATGGTGTTTCACTTAAATCACAGAAAAATGTCGATTTGGGGTTACTTTTTTTAAACCAAAAATTGGGGATT